CGTCTCCCAATATTATCTCGAAGCTTTCACCGCCAGGCACGTCGTGGGCAGTTGCAAATGAGCCTTGATGACTCTCTAGCGGACTCTAGTCACCCAGGGGCATGCCCTCAAGCTCATCCAGCAATCGGCGCCAGTTGTCTGCGAGCATCTCTGCGTACTTAACTCGCTCGCCGGCCCAGTCCTGGTTCCATCGGCTGACGTGGTACTGAGTTGACTGGAAGGTGACGAGTTCGTCGCGGATGCACTCCTTGACGAAGATGGAGCGATTGTGTTGCTGGACAATAGACTCCTTATCCTGATTCTTTGTTAGCACTTCCTTATCTAGTAGCCTAGAGATGAGCTTACCTTGATGATGTTTTCCGCTATCCGGTCAATCTCACCAGCCTTGACCACCCCTTCTGGCTTGGATCTCAAGTTGGCGAGCTTGTTCTCATTAGTCTGGATCCTCCGCTCCAGATAAGGAATATTATCTTTATCCAATCGTTCTCTTCGCTCAAACATCTCCCGGACGCTCACCAGAGCATCTCGTTGGCGCTTGAGGTCCTCAAGAACTCCCTCATCCCATCCGCGGCTCTCATCCTCCATCAAAGTTTGGCAAGTCCTGAGGTGTTTGCTCATGGCGACAAGTCCATCGTTAAGTAGAGGAACCTCGTTGGTGTCTGTGGCGTAAGTGTCTTCCGATGTTTCTGTCAGAGAGGCCAAAGATAGAGCAATACGAGCGTGGTCAGCAGCCACGCCCTCAGTTCGCTTGACGAGACGATCCATGATGTTGCAGATGTTAATGTAAAGCTCAGCAGACCGCTTGACGCCATTGCGGGTTCGGTTGAAGAGATCCTCGAGCTCAGCTGGCAAAGAATCCTCCAAACCAGGTGGTAGTGCTCTATCAGTAAACTCATCCTGAACAGAAATGGTAGCTTGCTTGCGCCACACAGATAGTTCCTGATGCTGATATTAGCTTCAGCAGTTGATTTACACTTGGTGGCAGAATTGACTTACTGTAGGAACGGTCAAGAACATGACGACCAGCTGTTCTTGGTTTAGAATCGGGTGCCTGACAAGGGCATTCAAGAACCGTGACAGACCCCTCCTTCGCTTCTCGATAAAAGCCCCATCGTTTGACAGATGGCTACCATTTACACCTACGCGCTTGGGTGGAAGTAGCGGTAGAATACGGAATGGATATCTCTTGTGCAGACAATCCAATAGCCAGACAAAGTCGCTGTATCTGCGAATAACCTTGCTACCGCGCCTTATGCTTGAGATTTCATAATTATGGTGTTGGAACATGAAAACACCTTCCTTTTCCGGCATAAGCACAACAACGACATTCTCCTCGGCGCCGCGGCCTGTTCTGCCACTGCTCGTATGGTGTTGAAGAGCTGGAGGTTGTGCACTTGGTGTCATATCGGAAGCTGCACCAAAGGGATTCTGGACAGGGCCGGAGGGAGACTCCCCAAAGCCTACAACAGGATTATTCCCATCAAAGTATCCCCATCCACCAGGCGTTGTTACCGAGTTGCTGCTATGTTGTCTGCGGCTGTTCGGAGAAGTAGTGGCCTGAGGCGATGCAATATTAGGCAGAGGAGGAGCGTCGATTACTGTTGCCGGGGGTGTTTGGCTGAAGCTGGCATGGCCATTTGTGCTGTTTCGCTGGGTGCCGTTGGACTTGGAGGGACCGTGATCATGGGTTTTGTGCATATCGGGACTGCCCCATGGATCGTCCTCTGGGTCATCCATGGCTGGTCGAAATTGCTTAGGTTGTTGCTGCGCGGGAGGAGTTTGTTGTTGTTGTTGTTGAGGAGGAGGAGGAGGAATATCTTTTGGAGGCGTCTGAGGAGGCTTCGCGGAAAGTTCAGCAACTGGAGGTAGGATGGGCTCTGCAGTGAGACCTGCGAGCTTGGGTTGCGGAAGGCCTGTGATGGAAATGAGTTATTAGCTGGAACTGAGTAGTGTCCCCACCAACCGCCGGGGGGATATGCCAGCACTGATATGACATCCATGGCATTGCATTGACCAGTTGATAGGGCAGCTTGTAAGTCTTGGCAAGCAAGCGATTTACATGAGAGGAAAATAATCATGCGAAATGCGAATCGAAGAGATATGTTTACTTACGTTTTCGGCGCTCATCAACACCATCCAGGCTTATGACTTCACCTTCTTGTGCAAGGCCTACCAGAGCCAGCAGCACATTGAACTCGTTTCGACCTAGCAGGACATCCCCGCCTCCGGGAGCAACCAAGGACATAATGCGAGCTTGGGCATCAGCACCAAGTCTGGCAGTAGCAAAGAGCTTTGCGACACCACCAGAAGTGACCTGACCTCCGCTGCCGTCTTCGCGCACTACTGTATCGAAGGTCTCGATATAGGCATCGGGCACGTCGCTACCAGGGAGGAGGTTGCGAATAAGATCTGCTCTGCTCTGCTGCTTGCGCGGCGTGGGCATGTCCCACGGTGAATCGTGGGAGTCGTTGTCGTCAGCGAAAAGACTGTTGGATGGCTTTGGTGTTCCAGAACCAGAGTCATCGTCGAAGAGTCCAGCACCGCCGCGACGAGTTGGACCAGGAGACGCACCCAGACCTGGGTTGTCCTCCGTCGGCGATGAACCAAAAAGTGACATTATGACTTTCAGGTGAGCAGCGAATGTAAGATTATCTTGCGGCACGTATCAATCTCGTCGACGTCGATCAGCCGAGTCGCGAAAACTCGTGGAGAGTGTAGATCGGTCGTCTAGGTAGCGATTCGTAATCGAAGCCGCAAAGAGGACGATATACAGCGCAATCGACTTGGGTGCGCGATACCGAGCCTACGATGGAACAAAACTGCAACTGCAGGAGTTGAAGCGAAGCCAATAAGCAATACAGAAGCTCTAGCGACGAAATACACGCGAATTGAGAGGCAACTGGGAGGTTGGTGAAGTCATTCCAAGTGGAGAAGACCTGGGTCTGCGACATCAACTTAAACCGGACGGAGCTGTTGTGGAGCGTCATGGGTACGTACTCCCTGACGCATGCAACGGTTAAAATGGATGTTCCTGGAGACGCCACAATCTGTCAAGACTGTGGCTGATCACCAGATGCTACATAGAAAAGTTTCATGAGTTCAATTGTTTGTACATTGCTTGTTATCACATCCAAGTGTCTATACTCGGTCATTATAATACAATTCTTCATATGCCAGTCCCAACTCTTAGAATAGAGTCTCCTCAGTGGCTGCCTTCTCCTTCTTAACCTCGCTCTTGATCTTGTGCACACCAGGCACCCTGAAGTACAAACTGGGCGACTGTCCTGGCGCGAGCTGGTAGCTCAGGTATCCTCGGTGCGCAGGATCACGATAATACTCGATATCCTCACGGCTGGTAGGGTCGGGCAATCGGTATCGGAAGGGTGATTCACGGGCTGCGGCCAGCACAGTATCGACGTGCTCCAATCCTTGAGGAAGAGGCTTATCTGTGTTGACGGACTCGCCCCGTAGGAGCCGTTTTATGGCCAGCTTGGTGTAGTATCGGGTGAGGACCTTGCCTCCAGCACCTTCGATAGCAGCGATAGCTCCAGCAGAAACACGGGAGACCATCACATCGATGGGCTGCTTAAGCATATCTGCACCTCGAGATAGAACTTTGACACCATCCTTGACTGTTCCAACGATGCCACACTCGATCAATTCCTTCGGTGTAATCTGCTTAGTGGGGTCGATTCGTCCTTGATCGATCCAAGCCTGGATCTGGTCGAGGTTGACTTCCGACATCTGAGGAGCTCGGCTACAGACAAGTTAGTCAATTGAACTTTTATCATCCCCAACTCTTCAACATGTTGTCGGGACATTCGTAGGCGCCTCACAAGTTGCTGAAGCCCTTTCGACCATGCTTGACGATCAAAGGTGTCTGACCACCCTGAAACCACGGCTTGACCTTTCCATGCTGCTTCTGACCCTTGTGACCACGACCAGATGTCTTTCCGTGTCCGGACGAAGGACCACGGCCAACTCGCTTCTTCTGGTGAACGGCGCCAGCGTTGTTGGCGAGACTGCTGAGGATAGACGCATTTCGGGTCTGGAGGGAGAGGCCGGAGAGGTAGGCGGTCAGCGACGACACGGGAGCATTGACGGTCGTCCTGCAGCACAACGGTGTGCTGAAGGGTGAAATTCGAGGAGGCATCGTCGTGAGGAGGGCGCCGCGGCCGTGAGTCTGGAATTGATGCTGGCGATCTCGAAGTCGACGGTAACCAATTTTTTGGATGGCTTAGTGCAAGAATGTCAATCTGGGGCAGTGGATGCCTCAGGCTGCAGCTCATTGAAACTCATCGACGACGGGCTCGGAGCCAGCTTTTTCAAAATTGAGATTGAAAAATGATTGTTATATTATTAGAAGACTTTACAAAGTCTCTCGTATCCTCTGTAGACGTATCAAATGTTGAGGTCTTCCAGAAGCGCGAGGCGTTGAATCTCCTGCTCATCTGTTCATTAACCACAGAGTCCAAACCCTTCACCTGAACATCTTAATGCCATATCACATCCATCAACAGCCAATCATGAACCGAAAATATGATAATCAGTTGCAGAGAGTCCTTCCTCCCAAGCTTTGCGTATCCCCAGTCGTGTACGCGAGTCTTTCTCTCGCCCTAGCAGCGCGCTGAGCTCTTTTAATCCTCTTGTTATGCCTATAAAGCGCCAAGCTGCAGACCCAAATGAGGAACAAAGCAATGAGGGGCATACCAATCACAAGAAATAGAAACATTGGATCGGACGCGAGATTCACATCATCGTCTGTAGCCCAGTGGTGCTTGATCATCATGGTGCCCATTCCAACGATCGATATAGCTGTGTTCAAGGCTGTCTAGATAAACTCTGTCAAGGAAGTGATTAAACGGGTATTGTATAAAGTTTTGGCTGATTTCCCGTTGTCTTAGCTCAAGACGCATAGTTTCGCTGTTAATGACCTCAAGTTGAGATGCTTGACTGATGGAAGTCTAGCATAACTGTCGCCTGGAAGGAGACTCTGTCTCTCAATTTCGTACTGCAATAATGATTATAGTAGAGATTAGATATTCCGGTTGAAATTGTGAGTGCAAGTGGATGCGTACTTACTTATCACAATACTCATGGAGCTTTTTGGTTGCGGAAATCGTGCAGGTGAGACGATGTGCAAGAAGATCAAACAATGAGGGCACCACTGATATATAACATCAGGTATTAACACTGTAAGTTTGAGTAAATTGAGTCTCTTTGTACTTTCATCATCCTTGTATTCGAACATAGCCCAAGGCATACTCTTAACTACATGGATGTATAAGCCAACACCAACAGGGGTATCAAACATATACAACCAACACTCAATTGATGAATGGTTGAAGATAGACGAAGAGCAAGGTTTATGAAGCTAACGACTTGTGCTTAAATACTATGCGAGGCACGACCTGAGGTTTTGCCTCGAGTGAGCCCATTTTCCATGGACTTAAGAGATGTATCTGCTCAGGTGGGTGTCTGGACGTAACAGAAGAACGGCTCTTAACCCTCTGGATATAGGAGCTATCTCAGATCTTGTCTGAGCCTTGCTACACATCCATATGGGAGTTATTAGTTACTAAAACTAATATTGCCGCCTCATAACTCGAGATGGACTTTAGATCATGAGATTCTGACGACATATTCTCGAGACATATAAATGGCCTTCAATATGTAACTTATATATACACAAACGAGTTGGCAATATATCAAGGAATGAACCAACTCAGTATACCAACTCCAAGCTCTTCGAGAGCAGATACCCAATGGCATCTAAATGCAAGAAACCAATATATCCCCAACTCACAACTCTACAACCCTCTCATCATCAAAACCCTTCGTGTTCTCCAACGGCGGCCCCTTATACCCCAAAACATACCCCCTCTGATTCGCAACAACCTTCACACCACCCTTCTTAAACTCCGTCGTATAATGCGTATGACCAAACATCCAAACTTGCACTCCATGCATAAACTCCCTAGCCTGTATAACATCCGTCGAAAACGCCGTCTTGTACGGTGCATTCGCATGTTCTGGTTTAGAAGACCCTTTTACACAGGGTGCGTGGTGTGTTACCACCAAGACATTTCTCTGAGATTCTTCTGGAAGGTTGTTGAGTTCGGATATGGTCTCTGTGAGATAGGCGAGATCCCGGGCGTGACACTCGTTATGTTTGGCGACGGTCCAGTTTTTGATGAGTTTGTAGTCTGATACTCGGAGGGCAATGGTATCAGCTGCTGAAGAATGGATATTCGACCATAATGTTGCGCCGATAATGGTGAGTTTCGAATCCGGATCATCCCAGCGATTTCGATCCAGAATCACAAGTTTTCCCTCAAGAACCTCCTCTTTCTCCAATTCCCTCGCCTTTTCAATACCGTCCTCAAAGCTCATCTCGTAGAACTCGTGGTTACCAAGGACTAAGAAGACCTTTTCGAAACGAGCTGTTTGGCGTGCGAGAAATGGGAGAAACATATCATAGTCGACTAAACGACCTATATCGCCCCCGAGAATAAGAAAAGGTGCTTTGACAGGAAAGTCGAAAGTCGCGTATTGTCGATTGAGCTCCAGATGAAGATCTGACATGATTTGTGCTGATCGACCACATGGTTCTCGATGAGGAATTGCAGGGCCGAAGAGATATTCTGAGACACGATATAGTGTATCCATTGTAGGAGTCTGACTTGCTTCTTGTGTGATGAGAATAGAGAACAAACAGTGAGTTGAATGATATTGGCACAGACTTCTCTTTGTGGTCTCTAGGACTCTTATACATAGGACTTGGTTAGTCCTCCATGAACTGGTGGGTCTAGAATCATAGCTGTTTGTCTTGAGGGCAGTGCTCTCTAGACCGGGGCCTCCAACGCCACGTCCATTCAGCCCCTGGGAATCCGCCTACGCTACCGCGGAATCTTCACAATTAAGGGACAGCTGCATGAGGCTCAAGACTTGCAGCAGTAAGAACCATAAATTAATGTCAGAGCGATCACTTATGCATAATACCACCCAAAGAGACATGCAACAAAACCACTTCTTCGTGGCTGTAAAAATGAGCCGATTCTCATCCTACATGTATCATTAATACCAACAGGTTCTCTGACTTCTAGAGTAGAATGTAAACCCATCATCTATCAAATCATCTTGACAACGACCTCCCAAACCGTGTATGAAGCAGATTTCCCACGATGCGCGTGCCATATCCCTTTAGTACAATGATAGACGAGTATCCTAACCATGGCGGAAGCAAAGGTAGGATGCCCGGGACAAAAACAAAACGCCGCACCCTCTTTTATTTTCCCTGCCTCCGAATGTGTAATAATCCCTGTGACCTAGTCGAATGAAGTTGCTTATGCCCCTGAAGCGCCGTTGATGTCCGGTTGATAATCGCAGTGCTCCAATGCCGATATTGATCCGTTTGTTGGATTCCATACTCAAGACAGCTCAAGTTTTGAAGTGGCCTAGTATGGATGTTCCCAGCCGCCAGCAACGTCGACCCATTCTGCAAGACATGATCCTTCTTTGCCTTCAACATCGACAACATCGGTATCACATCTGCAGCGACAGCCAATGCCACCTTCTTGCACGTCGTCCCACTGCTCCCAGTAATCATCTTCCTCGAATCTCTTATACTCGGGGAATGTTGTCTTCTCTAGGTACGGCTCACGTGCGAGCTGTTTGCCCGGCGCATTAGCAGGGCAATGCTGAATCGTTGTATGTCGGTAACCAAAGTCTCGGAAGTAATGGATATCCTGGGGTCCGAGGAGAGCGCCAGCGGCAAGGGAGTGAATCGGAGCATCGCCCCACTAAGGAATGTTAGCATTGTTTCAAAAAGGGGGCTTTGGCTTGCATACTCGTTCCATCCAAAAGCCACCACTTCTGTCCATCATTTCGAAAAAGTCCTGGTACTCCTTGCTGCGGAACCAGCTGAGCTTTGCAATTTCGAAGTTGGACCAAAAGTGGCACATGTTGTATGTCTCTCCCTCCATTGACTCAGGGTCGACAATGTTTTCCTTCTTACCCGTGAGGGTATCCCAGAAACTCTTCTCGGGATTTGGCGAAGTATCGCTGTCCTTAGCAGTATCCTCATCATCGTCCTCTGGTGGCTCAACGAACATTTCCCACAAGCCTTTCGATGTGATGTTGTTAAGTCGCTTGTATGCGGATGCGTATCGGAAGATATTGGGAACAGTCTCTCGAAGTTCCTTGACGGCGATTGTGAAGCCGTATGTTTTATTGTGTTCGATCATTTTCTGGAAAGGGTCACTGCAGCTAGTTAGTAATGCGATTGCGTCTGACTAGAGCAAAACGTACTATGTGATGTCGCAGAAGTAGCTGATCTCGGGTTCGACTCGCCAGTACCACTCATACTTGAGCAATAAGGGGTGGTTGAAGAAGAAACTATTGCGCCGTTAGCTAGGCTGTCCTTGATCACCACGAAAAACCTTAACTTACCCAGAGTAGAATCTGCACATCTTGTGATAGCTCTCCAAGCCTCCATACATGACGGCAGCGTCGCCCTGCTTGGCGATACCCTCTGAAGCAACTTTGGGGTCAATCCAATCGGGGAACCCCCACATATCTGGTCCAACCTTTCCAAACTCAACATCTCCAGAGGTATGATTTCGAACAGCCTCCTTGAAGTTGTCGTCGAAATCTGCATCGTTGAGGAACACATAGGGGTAATGATACCAACGATTGAAATGTCTCTCAACTGATTTTATAGATTGCAAAACACCATCGATCTCCTTGTTTCGCGCTAATATCACAAAGGCGGCGTTGGCTCGAGGTTGGCTGGTGTCAGGCTGGGCGCAGCCCTCGACGAACACCTTATCGTACTTTTCGCTGATTTTCCTGTTTGGGCTGTTAGCCATCTGATATGCCAAGCATGCTGATATCAGACTTACCGCATCTTGGGGGGAGCACCCCCTGGTATCAGAAACCTGCCGGGGGAACTGGGATGGCTGACGAAGAGAATAAAAATAAGGATTAAAACAAGCATTGGAAAAAAGACAACCACGCCCAGAGGTACGGAAATTGTAGAGTTCCCCTTTAATCGCAGGGGTCGACGGAAGAAGGCCATGCGAGAGTCGACCGACTTGTTGTGTTTGGAATCCCTCTTCTCGTCGAGGGGAAGTTGTAGAGGAGGTTTGCTGGGAGCCACCTTGGTGGCCCTCCTGATCAGGTCCATGGGGAGAAAGATCCTACCACGGCGGCAGGTATTGTGATTGATGGCAGTCGAAGTCTGGAGGACATGAAAAGCGCCGTATCGTGGCGCCTGCGACGGCCGTCGAAGACGAGATTCAAGGTGTAGATGTGGTCGTGGTCGTGGTCGAAGAATAGGAGACCAGGGAGGGAGACCGGTATTGGTGGATGGGGCAATTAACTCGTACGGTAGCCGTAGGTAGTTCGGTCGATCTTCAAGGTGGGACCGAGAAGTTTAAAAAAGGTAAAAAAAAATAATTATGTCAAACGTGATCGCAGAACAGAAGACGGTCGTGGTATCGTTGTCGTGGCTCGTGGATTTTGATGGTATCGTCGCACGTCGTCCATAGACGTAACATTGAAGAGGAAGCAGTCGTGGGATGGGATATTGGATCTCTAAAAGACAGACAGGGAGAGGGATTGAATTAAGTAATGAGCGGCAGGGACCACATTCCCTGATTCTAGTGCAATACAGTAGAAATTCCACCAAAGTCAAAGCCAAAGACAGGCCCAGAGTTTGATCCAGCAAGCAAAAAACTACTGACGCGTTGACCCGGGAGAGGTGGTCGGTGGGGCACAGACTCCTTGTTCTTGGCAGATGATAGCGAGAGATCACCAATGAATGAGGGAATCCATGTTATGAGATACAGTGCATGTTGTATACACGTACAGCAAGGGCGGTAGAGACTGACTCTTGTACTCAGACTAAGGGTCTTGGCCTTGAAAGGGATGACCGGAAAAGAATAATGAGAGAGGCAAATAAGGGAGAAGATACAGAGCATGAGTGAGGGTGGGAAGTGGGAGCACGCAAAACACGATGGGGCCGTAGAGTAGAGTCTGTAGCCACTGAAGATAATTACTGATGTAGTGGAGGTACTGCAGGTGTAGCTTGAGCTGTACCAACTGCAGTTATTCATGCACATTCATCAAGATCCCGGGTACTTACAGGGGCCACGGACTCGTCCGTGAGCCAATAGCTTGCTCATCCTTTGAATCATGACAGCGTCGATCCAATCAAACACCAAACAAAAAGGGCGGAACACTACCGGACACCGATATAACAAGGTCCCACGTCAAACCAGTACCTAAATGCATTTGATGCAAAATTGACTGACCTGAAATGAAGAAAACGAAAATTCCCTGTAAGGAGAAAAATAATTAGATTTATAATTAGATTAGGTTCTCACATCCAGATTGTCACTTACAGGCCATGTGGACGCTTTTACGGACAAGCGAAAGCAAGCAAGAAATTCAATTCAGGTCGCTCCAAGACCCACGTGTAACTTAAGTTAGCGCTTGCATGCAGCTGCACTATTGCTCAGAAGAGTCTAGACTAAAGTTGAATCTTGGATCTTGATTCCGCTTCATCAGGAACTGCCTGTGATCAACGAATCCTCCCGTCCGTCAAGAAACCCGTCCCGCTGACAAAGAGCCACAAACCAATCGCTTACGGCTCAACCAACCATACAGACATAGCTGTATCCAGTTTGTTTCACATCACCAAACATGGCACCCAAAATCAACTCAAAAAACCTGTCTTACAACGACTCAGCACCGCCATTTCTTGCTGCTCTGAGGGCTCAAGCCGCTGGTGCTACAGGCCCTGATCCACTACTCGCTGCGCAACGGAGGTCAGCTAAGAAGCGCTCCAGCAGTGAAGAAGCAGAAGATGTGCCGCTTGTCGTGGACGAAGACGGAAACGTTGTGAGTCTTGAAGTCGACAAGGATGGGGTTGTCAAAGACAATGGAGATTATGACGTGGAACCTGCAGCTGTGAAAGAAGCCGCCAAAGAGTCAGAGAACAAAGCTGCTATTGGAGGAAGAAAACGAAAGGTTGGAAAAGTCATCGGTGAGACTGCTGATGAGGCCAAGGCTGGGCATGACGGAGAAGATAAGAAGAAGGAGAAGGATGATGCTGAAAAAGAGCCAGCAAAGAACCGCAAACCCAAGAAGAAGGCCAAGAAGATCAAGCTGAGCTTTGACGAAGATGAAGGTTGAACGATATGGATGAGCAAGCTACATCACCTTTCTCATCACTTAGACTCGCCTTGAGCATCACTAGGGCCACACTCATACATCCATCTACAGCCAAGACACGATATTATCACACCACTCTGATACCCAGCATCGACCAGATGAGAGTCACGACTCCCATAATCCCAGGACTGGAGGTCAAAACATAGATGAAAGTGCACCAGACGTATGATAGAGTACTCGTCGTCTTGCGAAAGGGTACATCTTATTGGCAGTATTGAGTTTCATAACCGCAACTGGATGTTTCACATCCGTATCACGAAATGACATCAAATCAAGCTATACCTAGCACATGGAAGCCTGGAAAGTCATTGCTGATGTACACAAGCTCAACTGGATCCAACTGCTATTGTCACAAATACAACACAAGCCCAATACATAGTCAACATCAACTTCTGCAAGCTAACTTAGTAAATTGACACAGGGAATAAGGCATCCTAATCTACACGAAACGGCTCCTCTCCCCAGGGGCACCATGCACATCCATCTTGTTTTCCCTTGATGCTACAACCCAGTCTCCTCAATGCCTCTCAGCGCCATGTAATGCATTTATCGGTATCGGTACTCGGGCTTGATGTAATCGGCAAAGGTCTTGGGCTCCTCGAACTCGGGAGGGTGGTGGTGGTGGTGATCGTCCTCGGGACCGACGTAGTCCATCTTGTAGACGCTGCCGCACTCGGGGCATCGCTCGATGGGCCGCTCGCGGGTGATCTGGAGTTATAAATGTCAGCATTTCACTTCCGTCCGTCCGGAATTTCAAGGTCAGGACTCACGCCGAGCCAGTGGACGCTGTGAGAGTCGGCGGGGAAACCAGTGCAGCCAGCGAACTGCTCCTCACCAGCGGATCGGACCATGATGGGATCCTTCATCGTTCCGAGGCGGCTGGCGTCGAGAGGGCGCATGTCGAAGATGTCGACGCCCTCCATCTTACCGAGAATCTCGAGACGCTCGATACCGGTGGCCTGCTCGAGATCGGTAGGGACGGTTCCGGGGGCGGCACCAGGACCGAAGAGATCCTCCTCAGTTCTGATCTCTGTATGCGAAAGCTTGTCAGCGAATGTCGTACGTCACGTCACGATGCGTCGGCCGAGGTTACGGGGTGCCATTGAGGCAGCCGACGGCGGCATTGTCGGGCAACATACCCTTCAGAGTCTTGTAGGAGCCGACCTTCTTCTCGGCGGTGCCAGCAAGAGCAGCGGCCTGCTCGTTGGGGGTGGCAGGACGGGCAGCATCTCCTGTAGTGGAAGCAAAAACACTAGTCAGCCATCATACGACGATCGCCATTGGCTGGCTGGAGGAGCAAAATGGAAATGCGTACGGCGGACGAAAGAGGTGGTGAAGGTGCGAGCGACAGCAGGTCGGGCGGCGACGCGGCGAGCCGCAGTCAGGGCGGAGCGTTGCAGGAACATTTCGTTGATGGTTTGCGCCGGGCAATGGGGTCGAGCTTTGAGGATGACTCGGGATGGGCTGAGAGAGGTGTTGTCGAGGGATTTGTGAGGAATGGGCTGATTTGGGTCGAAGTTGGAGGATGGACCCATCTTCGCGAGTGAATTGGCCAATTGGAGTTGCTGTATTTCTGACCACGTGATCTGTCAAAAGCTCCGGCTCTTGACGTTCACGCAATTGTTAAGGCGAGTTTCGGAACGTCATCAAGAGCTTCAAGAGCTTGCAAAATGCCACAATTATCATTTGAAAACAGAAGAATAGCTCAAATCGAAGCTCTTATACTCAATTGGTGTTCGTGAAGCATCAGCTAGCACACATATGTTCTCACATACGTTGTGTTTACTCTGCCAAGATCTCAGCTGTCTTGCCTTTAGCAATCGTAGTGTTTGCCGAGGCTCGCTCAATATCAATTACATTTTGTTCACTCACATATATGCCAGCATATTCTATTAAATGTTATACTTGTAATCGGTTTATGACTGTTGCAATAAGCTTTGAAGCTTCGCACATCGTAAATAAAATTATTCATTTCTGAAAACATGGGGGTGAATTGTGAATAGCACATCTTAAGTGTTGATCGATACAGCTCTTGTACTTGTACATCATCATAGTACTTGGGACTAAATGAATATTTGAGACATACGTGTGTATTTACGAGATAGCAAGAAGGGAGTTAAGATAACCTAATTGCTCCGTCGTTGGAGAATTGAGTGAGCCTTCAGATGTATTGATTATTTGGTGGGTGAAAAACATGTTGCCTGTAATGACTTAATTGGAAAATGTATCACCTATTATTTAAAGCAAGAATTAACATGGACGCGGGCCTCCGTCGGTCATATTGATGTCGATAGTAGACTGCTTCGGAGTATCAGGATCTTGCAGGCCAGGACTTATTACAAATTTCTCAAAACTCAGAACGACTACATTCTATAAAGCAGCTTCACACCACCGGAAAGGATTGCATAAGGTCTACCAAGATATGCCTACTTAATGTAAGGAATCAAGTGAGGTTTGGTCTCGACTGTGTCCAAATGTTGACTCTGTAAAAGCAGACACACACCCATTACCTCTCAACCAGAGCATAGTAGATGATTTATTAGTTACACAGTATCACTCGCAAGCTCAGCTATAATCTCACTCGCTTCCCTCTGCACATCCTTCACAATATCCTTAGCATCCTGCACATCATGTATAAGCCCAACAGCCGCACCGGCATACGTCGCCAACCTCCCCTCTGGTCCCCACCCTTTATCCCCAGAATTCACTGCTTCATCATGTCTCCTCTTCAACTCTTCAAATTCCACACCTGCCTGATGATCATGGAAGCTCTGGTTGATGATACCCCGCGCGGGCTATACTGCTCTGGCCACCCCGTAGTACCCCTGAGATGGTTGTAAAGCATTGTTCTAGTCGTACATTGAGCTCCGTCTTTAGCTCGGATAATCTCTTGCTGGTAGCCTTTGCTGATACGGGCTTCGGTCGCGGCTAGAAAGCGTGTGCCCATTACTACACCTATTGCTCCCAGTGAGAGGGCTGCTGCGACGCCTCGACCATCTGCGATACCTCCGGCTGCGAATAGAGACATGCCTGAGTCACGAACCTGGTCTTCGATTTCAGGAAACAGTGTCATTATACCCAGACCGTCGGTGGCTCGACCATGACCACCCGCTTCTGCGCCTTGAACTACCAAAGCATTTGGGCGGTGCGCACTGTTGGCTACCTCAATACTCTCGTGGACAGTACCAATCTGTATCCAAACTTGTATCTCAGGGTAAACTTCCCTTATCTGAGAAGTCCACTCATCAAGCTCTTCTTGTCCTCGACGAGGCGCAAAAAGCCATGCTGCACAGGGTCTGTAGTCCTGAACAGCCTGAACAGCAGACTTGAGGTCGCCATTCCAGAGTTGAAAGCCAACACCAACAGGGAGAGTGCCTGTAGATGGAAATGCGGCTGGCAGGTTCTGGGAAGGTGAACTGCGTAGCAACTCTCGCACCGTGGCCAGGTCCTTCGAGGTATCTTCTGGCTTCGCTCCTGGTCCAATGAACCCAAGGCCTCCAGCTTTTGAAATCGCAAGAGCTAGGTGAGGTCCTGACATGACGCGCATAGGCGCGCCGATGATGAAGGGCGAAGTGGTCCAAGGGAACTGGCTCAAAAAGCGAGCCCTACTGGCTTTGGCAATCGCACCAGCTGTACTCATATCGGAATCTTATTCTCTTATTCTGCTCGGTCGATTAGCTGGATTTCGATCATTGGTTTGGTCTTACCTGCTGTTCAACGTGGAATTTGATCATTGAGATGCTCAGGGCGTTTGGAGATTGGAGAAAAAGCCACGTTCAACAGTGTGCGCAGTAACTCCCATATGAGCTAACCCAGGAAACGAGCACAATTTGAGCACTTCTATATAGGACTAATAGGTATTTCGGTAAGAAACCGAGATTATATGAATAGATCAACTTTACATCACGAAAGAGGATTACTTCATCATTCCGATGTATCCGATATACCCGATCATCGAGTTTCGCAAGAACCTTATGGCAATAATGGTTATTGTTTGTCACTTTTTTGCAAGTTGGTAACTGGAGGAGAGTTCATCTGTATATTTTAATTAAGTCACCAGTTCCAGACTTCGGCGTAGGTTGTTCACTGGCACGAGATTATGCTGGCAGTACAAACATTAGTACCAGTTGTCGTCATAACACGTCACTTGACAAGATGTTCATCTAGAAGACATTCCAATTTGCATGGAAGATAAGATCAAAGTTATGTACGCATCGAAGCAGGTAAGCACATATAGTATTAATGTAAACATGCGTGCAGCAGCTCAACATCTTCCAAAACGTATACCTTAGCAAATTGTCGTACAAACCCTCCCCAAACTCCGAACCAAAAAAAAAAGTGCAACGCACAAACGAATAGACCACTGGCATAATGCGAGCCACCCCTATTAACCCCATCTTCCATCCTCCGAATCTCGCACATCCTTCATCTTCGGAAAGTGACCAAACGGCTGAGGCTTGAAGTTCTCGAAAATGGGAAAGAAGGCTGGATGGGTCCCTGGATAAGAACCAGCTATTAAAAGATTACACCGATATCTCGGGACGCTCGACGATGAAACCCAAAGTGTGTTTAGAGCTTTGGATTCTCTTTCTGTTGTTGTTGTTGTGCCCGGTAAGCATTCACTCCTCCGTATGTTGACGGTTGAGCGGAACTCTTCTGGCGTTTATCAGATCGACTAATAGCTGACTGTCGAGTGAGTGTCGACGGAATCGGGTCGGGTTTCGAGCGTAGTTGGCTGATGCGTCCCTTACCAGATGTGCTGGTCTTGGTAATCCTGTATTTGTCCCCAGGCTTCCGGAAGCTGGCCAGTCGGCCTTGATAGCCAGCTGAGCGGATGATAGCGGCGCGCAGTGTAGGGTCCTCGTAGATTTTAGAGGAGCTCTTTGACCCAGAATCCTCACAGATGCTGAATACAATTCTTTTGATCACGTCTCTGCCGCTCTGAGCAGACATTGTGAACATCGATTGCATCTTCTTTGCAATACGCCATCGGAGGAAGTCCCAGGGGTCCATGGCAAGTTCCCCTTTGTGTTGTAAAACTCGCAGATCTGAGACCTTGCATGCAAGCTTGTACATCAATTCCTGCTCACACAATCCCTCTGTTGGTAGGTGATGCTTGGAGACAAGCTGGTTCGGATGGTACAATGAATCATGGCCGAAAATTTCACGGATCTTGCGATGCTTAGACACATTATCCATATGGAGCTTGTGTTGCTTAGCAAGATCCTTGTTGTGGGGGTCGAGTCGACATCGTTCCTTTGATTCTCTCTTCTTCTCTTCTTCCGAGCTCTCTTTTGCCAGGTAAGCCTCAAGGGAGGACCACCCTGGCATCCAGTAGTCGTCGGTCTCGGTGATCTTTTGCACTGGGGTGCCGATCAGGCATCGTGGTGAAATGTACTTCTCGCCATCTGGACTGATGTGGTAGACATCACCCCAGGGTTTACTGAGCATCTCGGTTACGGCTTCGGATGACACAGCCGCCTCATGACCATTGGCCAGGCTGCGATCTCCCATCTTGCCTTATCAGATGACCGGCAGAAATAGTGATCTAAACTGAGTCGTTGAGTTAGCAACTCCAATCAGAATTAGCATAAGGCTAAATACTAACCTAAGGCCAAGGAGAGTAAGAAGATAGTAGTTGCTGCTAGCAGGTGAGAATTAGTATTAAGCAAGGCAGAGAACACAGTTCAATAAGAGTAATTCAGTGGATAATAGAAAGAATAGAACTGTTTTAAGGGATAGAGCTTCTCGTCAGGCCTGAGAGCAGCGGAGAGAGCAGTACATCAAGGGGGCCAAAAGAAATTATTAAATCCTTGACTTACTTTGAAAGCTGTAGATATAGTTACTTAGGGATGGAAAGGGTTGTGTGATGTGTGAATAGCGATGTGTTTAAGGGAGAGAAGCTATAGAAGATTGAAATCTTCAGCGGTGCTCCTTCATATAATAATAATCAGTGTTGCAGGAAGAAGGCGAGGATAGTCTGCACCTAGGCCAAGCGGATCAAACGCAACTGGCAGTGAATCAGAGCCTAAGTTATAGTGCTGAACTTATGCCTCTCTGTAGACTAGGTTGCCGCGCAGTGGTGAACAGTGTAATTCCTGAATAAGGAGTGCGCTAATCGGTGAATGTCTATGTTGTCCTAATGTTTGCTGGTGTTTGTAGTGAGAATCTCAGCCTTTCCGCTGTTTGGATGCTGAAAGCTTTGTGTGGCTTGATGTTGTTGATGCCAGACAATGAAGTACGAGTCGTTGATGTGAAGGAGAGAGAAATCAGATGTGAAGAGTGGTGAAGATTATCTCCTACTTCTTTGAGGACTCCTATTGGGAAGGAGCCTCACGATGCGAGTCACTGCCACTGCAGACAGGAGACAATTATAAGATATCGTCTGCCCTGAAATGCTTTGCGTTATCTTAGGCAAGTACCGCAAGTGGCTTGACCTTGATGAGCAACAGTTTTCAGGAGCTGCGTGAACTACTGAGATTATGTCCTATGCGATGACGAGGAGTAAGGCGCCCCCCAACTCGCATCAAAGTTATTTAAGTTGTTAGACTAGAAGCCTCTGAAGGAGAGCTCTTATTTATATTATACTAATATTGGATTGTAAGATTGTAGTTATTCCCATGTATCTGGAATTGTTGACAGCTATAAACTCGAGCTTATCTGCTGTCCTTCTTTCTTATATGTATGAAAGACTAGGCCAGGTGCGGTATGAAGTTTAATGAGAATGAGTTTTAAAACTAAGACAGATTGAAGAGTGTCGTTAAGTGCTCCGGAACGAGGACGGATAGCGACGAAGATATGCAAGTGAAGAGATATAAGATGGGACTAGGTTCCTTACATGGTGGAAATAGCTGGGGCTTATATAGCTTAGCTGGGGTTCTAGAACTCTCCAAGAGTTTGTTCTACAAGCGATATGCTTCTAAAGAAACCTCCAATAGAGAGCCACACATTGGCTGGAGTGTTTACCAATCAGCTTGAGATAAGTTAACATATCTTGAATACGTGGTAAATTTAATATCAAGGGAGTGACTATAATGCAAGCTGATATAGTAATAAGTCTTGTCTCGGCCATACGTAAATGCAAAGGAATCGACAGTCAGGCACAAAAGATCACCCCATTCCCAGCACAACGCGTCCTTGAACAAATCAACCTCCTTTAGTAATTCTTGACACCGTCTATGTAGTGTTTCTATAAACCAAAACTTGGTATCGCTAATGATCCTTGACTCCAGTCACTGCTCATTATCAACATAGTTACAGCTTCGTCTCTCTTCCAGGCTTGGTCGTCATAGGCAGTATAATGCCATCCTGGTAGCCAGTCGCAACATGTTTTCCTTGCGGACTCCATATTAAACTTTCCATGGCGCCTCTGCCAGCACTGAATCTTGGCCAAGAGACTTCTTGTATCCACCATCCATCGCCTTCCATGACGGCCTCTTCAGCATTGACATGAACATAAAAAGAATAGCTTAGGCTTGCTGCGATGCCCAGGTCGTGGCCGTAGCCTAGATGGTTGCCTAGCATGAAAAGACTGTTGCGGTCCGCCTCGAATGCATGACATAGGACGTGTGCGTTTGTGTCTGTTTTCGGAAGCGGCTTGAGTAAGCGGTAGTATATCAGTTCTCTCCGGTCTGGTATAGCTTTATCTTCGTTGAAGGCCGACATGTCAACTTTGTACATGTCGAGGATAGGGAATGCTCCGTGGCCTTCATTGGGGAACTTTGCTTTCAGAGCATCGACGTCGGCCTGTGGACATGGATTCCACTGATCGGGTTTGCGTGATGAGAGTACGTCTTTGAATCTCTCCTGTGGCGGAATCCCTTGGACCTCATCAGAGCTAGAAACTGGTCGTTTGAAGGTGACGATACTGGTTAAACAAGGGCTGGCAAGAGGTGCTTCGGAGTCCGAGTCGGGAAATGGGCCCAATAGGTTACTTGATGGTTGGGTTGGCTGACGAGCGTGAACTAGACGTGTAGAAAAGGAACGGCTTGAATGGACTTCGGATACATCTAGGATGAAAGGGCGATCTGAAAGTCCGGGGTTGGTGAACACGGCGTGGATGGACTAAAGAGTATAAGTCTGTGTTCATTCATGTACAGACCTAACTCACATGGATTCCTCGTCTGTTCTCATCCGCATTGCCATGATCCTCCAGTTCGACTACACGGGTCGCTGCAAGAGCTGCTAGGGCATATACAACAGCACCATAAGCCCCCCTTGTGATCTTGGGAGGAGGAATACCGACAGCATCCCAAGGGAGTTCTTGACCCGGTGTCCAAGCTGGCTGCCGACTCATAAATCTCTGGACTACTTGTTGTGTGGACGGTGTATCATCCGGAAGCCTGGCCAGCTCCAAGGCTTCTTGGAATGAGAATCGCTTCCATTCTTTAGGCGTGCTCATTGAGCTTGGTGTTTCGGAGCATGTAACTTTAAGGCAATGCTTTGAAAGGCTGTGCGGCCAACATCAGATATTCGATCAATCAGAAGGTACTTCGAATTTATTTTCTCAGGCTCTTGGTGATGTTTCGCTTTGCGCAGTGTTGAACTTGTAGTTGTGAAAGTGTTGGAGGACGGGTGTTGATGCTGAGTACACCCGGCCCCACGCCAGCTGACGATGCCGAGGTCCGCCGATTGTCCTCCGGTCGCGGGACGTTCATTGTATTAATAAAACGTTGAAGTGACAAATGGCACATGTGAAAAGCCAACGAGGTTGATAGAGCATTAGATAGCTCAAAGCGGCATGAAACAATTGAAACAAACTTCTTTTTCGATGTATCGCGACGCTGCGAGGCTAACACATGAGAACTGCCTTATATTTGGTAGCATTGAAACTGGACAATAAGTGAGTTGGTCTGCCAGTATCATTTCACACCGAATCAAATCGCAAGGTCCGATGGTTGAATTGAACTCTCATATGTCAATCGTGATTAAAAGCACATATTGCTATCTTGCTGATTGCTAGAAATGCAAGATGATGCCAGTTGAATGCCTTTGTTATTGGCAGATGCATTCCCTACCAAGCCCTCTCATCATGGGCAGGTCGAAATTCTAAAAGAAAAGCATCATGGTTGCGAAATGAGCTGTATCACCCAATCACTGAGCTCTCTGTACAGCTGTAACTCCCAAAGATTCGCAAGGGTTGTGGTTGCCACAAGGTGTTACAGCTGTACTTGTAAGTCTAGGTTGCCTAGGACCTGAAGCTCCGGCAGAGTCATGACGTCGTCACTTTTAATCACTGGCATGGGTGTCTACTACAAAAGCGATCAAGTATGAGTCTCTTCTTCAACAAGTCATCCCAACCACAAAAAGTTACGACTTTCTAGATCATTACCGGGCAATTCACGCCTGCAGCTTTCAAAATGCTGTCGTGCTTTGGCATTGGTAAAAATCGAGAGGACGCAGAGCGCGAACCTCTGCTGCCGCGTTACAATGACGACACCAGCCTGCAGACGCGACTGCATGAGAAGCTCCATACATATCAAATGCTACGAGCCATATCTAAGGGATATATGCCAACCAATGACCAGCTTATCACTCACATGAGAACTCTTCTCTCAGCTCAGATATTAAACCCCGAGAGACAAGAGTTGAGCCCCTCTGGACGAGCCCTGGTCAGAAGCATCAAGCTATGGATCAAACAGTTCATCGAGGTCTTGCAACACAAGAACAGCAAGGATCAGATTCAGGACTTCATCTGGTACCTTACCAAAGCTCGTCTGGATGTCGACGTCGCCCATATTGAGCAACGAGCTGCCAGAGCAAAGGTCCGAGCCGATGCTGTCGCAACCTACAAGAGCTTGCAAACCGTTGGATCACTTCTCTTGACCAACTCCGATTTCCGCATCTTCCTGTCCGACCTTAGCACTGTTGGAAGAGAGGTCCTTCGAGACACTGCCTTCACCCTGTCTGACGTCTCTAAACAAGCTGGTGAGGCCATCAAGCCCTCCAAGGAGGAGGAGGAAGCTCTGAAACATGCAAATGGCAATGGCAAATCGCCTGCTCCACCTTCCAACGAAGATCTTAAGAATGAGGTTATAGATGTCGGTGAGACTGTCAAAGATGGTGCTATTGAAGTGGCCGACGGGGCGGTACAGAGCATCAAGGAACATGTGAAGGGCGACGAAGGTGATGCGCTCGTGAAGCGCCTCAAGCAGACCGTGATGAACCTCCGAAAACGAACAGACTACAAGGAGTCGGTATCAACAATCTCACTTCTCATCCGCCGCTACCTGCTCGCATATTCTCACGCAGCTGCCGCAACAGTAGAAGCAGTCGAAGAGGATACCCAGCCCAACCCAGAGGCCGACAAGGCAGTCCACAATTTCTGGTTGTTCATCACTTCCCTCGGTAAGCGTGAGCATTGGGATGAGGTCAAGAAATCATTCGAAGCAGTTGTCGATGATGGAAAAACCGACCCCAACTTTGATGAGCTTGTGCGACAGATTGGAAACTTGGTGCAGGATATGCTGAGCGACCCAGACTTCTTTGACAACATCGAGGAGCGATTCCAGGAACTACGCAAGAAATCCAACGAGCTGACTGCCAAATCGTCAATCCGAGACGACCTCGACGCCTTGCTTTCTAGTCTGTATGCTGCTTTCCGTTCAATCTTGGATGATCAAGATATCAAGAAGCTCATCCACACGACTGAGAGGATTGCTCTTCTGTTGTCACCAGCCGGCGAGTACGCTAACAGCGACCTGGTCACCGACACAATCAACATTTTTGTCCCTCTCCTCATCCAGGCTATCCAGTACATCCCCATTCCACGTGTTGAAGTGTCAGCACCCGCCATCGATCTTCTGCTTGAGAATCTCATCCTTGAGCCCGGCCGCACCATTAATG